GAAATCATGGCTGCATGTACTCTTTAAGTTTTCATGTGCTAGCTGACATCAGATTTATCTGTGGCATACTTTGCCACACACTTGTACTTTAAAGAATTTCGGATAGCCAAAAGTAAACCACCAATTGTCATAGAAAAGGTATATGGTCAGAAATGGCTCTGGCCAACGGAGATGAGCATTATAAAAAAGTGGTTTGGAAGGGCCAATGGGAGTGCTTTCTTTCACTCCTGGGAGTATTTACACTACAACTAGGGAGAGGTTTCTAAGAATAATGACGATGCAAGTGTAGTCTATGAAAACTCCCCAGTTCAATTCGGATTTCACCTTTCAGTTTGGAGGTATCTGAATTTTATTGACTAGAAATCAACTTATTCTCTTTGAGTAATATAAATGCTTTCCACTACGGAGGATCTGTCAATGTAATTTACAATCTAACACCTTAGGACTTTGAACATGTTAATATCCCGTTGAAAAGAACGGTAATCTTCCTTCCCCTCTTAGAAGTATTCAATTTCACTTTGAAAGAATGATGCCTGCTCTGTGTTTATCTCATGGTATGGATGTAGCTCTCTGTTGGTTAGTATTCACATAGGTTATCCTTTTAAAGTCTTAAAGGGCTGCTGTTACCCCAGTTAATCGTCCAGACAAAAGAGAAGTAGGACTCGAAAGAGAAGTCTTAGGAGGGTGGGAGATAAGGTGTGTTTTTCTCTGGTTTTGCTTTTTTGGCTTTGAGTAACTTAGATCTGTGATGTTCTCCGGATGCAGTGATGATGTATTAGCGGTGAAGCATGCTTCAAAACATTTATTGCTTTGAGTTTAAAAGTAAAGAGTAATTGAAGTGAATGATAGTTACTCCCATGTGGTAGAAGACAAATTAGGAGTAAAGGGGAGGAGGCAGCAGGCATCCTTAACTTGTAGCTGCTTTAGCTGGGCATCCAGTGCACAGCCAGACGTGGACACAGCATCTCTTATGTGAGGAGGGTTCTGACACCTGGTCCTGCCTTGTCTGATGGAACCCTGGGTAGTGCAGGAAAGATGGCCTCAGTAACATGGCAGTGGGCTAGGAGCTGGGCCTTAAGCCCACCTCATAAATCAGATTATCTTTTGTTCATTTTCATTCTATTTGTCCCCATGATTTATTGGTTACACCAAACATTCTAGCTCTGTCCCAGTTGTGATCAAGGGATCTAAGGACAAGATCCTGATTAGACATTGTGGTTATAACATTAGAAGGGCGAGGGGATCAGACTGGTGACAGTAGAGGTCATATGTCCCTAAGGGAGAAGGGAGTTGTGGGAGTGGCTTTGATGCTCAACTAGTTCTGATCCACAAAGCAGCACCTTTCCCTGACAATTTTTACACACTCTGTGTCTGGTTGTATTAAGAAAGCTGAGACAGTTAATGTTTATTGTGCCAACCTGGTCCATAAACACATGTGGAGTTAATTGAAGGGCAGAGGGATAAATGGCTCGGTGAGCTTCACCTTTCTAGTTCTTGGGTCTCTTGCTTTGTGATGATCGGACTAGGGTGTAGCTGCCTTAGCCAGTTCCCTGCATCAGCTTGCAAGGCTCACTTCCTGCAAGACATCCTTGAGGAGAAGCTACATGGACCTACCCCGATGAAGCCCTGGGTGCTGGAGCACCCGTGTGGAGATCCCTGCCAGCACTGAAATGCTTACACATTCACTGACTCGGCTTTCCTCCTGCAGTCGGTGTCACTGTGTTTTGTGAGATGGAGGAGGGCTTTGTGGATTGGTGTTGGTCATATGGGTCAATGGATTAATGTTGGACTTGTGGGCTTGGGCAGCACTGGGTTGGGATGCACACTTAACCTTTATATAAAACTCACTCTTCTACATGAGTTTTTGTGGATTTGTTTCTCTAAAGTACCCAGACTAACACAAAAGCAAAATGTTCCTTAGCCTAGTGTCCTGGGAGCATTTTTCAATTCTGTTATTTAAAAGACGCTTGGTCTCAGAATATCTGTAAAGATCATAGGTTCATATCTAGGCCCTTTTAGGTTTGGAGATGTGCGGTGCAGGTCACTTCTAGCTTTTGGGACTTCATGGTTTAAAAAATAGTTACATAGAAATGAAGTAGGACTAAGAGGTTGAATGCTCACCGAGCTTTCTTTTCCCCCTGAAATGAACACACCCATTTTTGAAGTGAATCTTTGTGCAGTGTTACCATTAATATTAAACCAAGGAGACTGGGTTCATAGTAAAGCAGAATAATTGTTGACCTTTGAAGCTTGCATTGGGCTTGCAGCCTTCTCTGAGTTCTTTCTGCCGGCCACCAGTTAGCGCCAGGAATGGAGTTTGAGATCCGGCCCTACTTCTTCGCTCATGGTGATGACCAAGGTGACCTGCCCAACTAATCTGGTGTTGCAAATAGTTGGTGCAATTATTTGATAATTTATTGACTCAATACAGTAATTAGTGGCAACAATTCACCCCCCCCCCAGAAGGAATTTGTTTTGGCTCTTTAGTGGCCAGACCCATCCTGTCTAAATGCCAGTATTGGATGGCACACATTGAACCTGAAATGAAGAGTTTAGAACACTTGTTTGGCAAAGCTGATAGTTTTTGGTGGCCTCTGGGATATATAGATCACGATCCACAACACCACCCCACCCCCCATTTACGCCTCCTTTTGCATCATGATTTCCAGGGCAGAAAATCATTGTTTTCTCAGTTCTACTGGAATCTTAGGATCTCAGCACTGGAATTTTTGCTCCCCCACATTGATATGAGAGCCTTTAAGAACACACCCTTCAGTATATAATTAGCTGTGTTCACATATGGCAAATCCTGAGTAAGAGCAGGCAAGATGGTCACCAAATATTTAAAACTACGTGAAAGAACCACTTTCAGTTCTTTTCAGCAGTGCCAACATTTCTCGGTATAAACCTACCGCACTTGCACATTAGCTCTGAACCAAGGCAAATGTGATAAAAATGGAAATGAGTGGTGCTGTTCTTTCTTTTCTTTTTCTTTTATGAAATAAAACAAATTATGCTTTTGGAGAAAACCATTTGCTATAAAGTGTAAAATGTTTTAATATTAATATCTGATCATAAAACCATGACATGATTATAAACACTTTAGCCAGCATTTTGACAACGGAGCCACTGCTGACAACTGGAAAATGCAATAAATATGCACAGACACACGGAGTATGAAATATACATCTTGATTTTATAATCATGTGTGCTTTATTTTTTACACAAATGGAATGGAAGTGTTGAATATTTACACGTAACAGGAGTGTACGCTGTGCAGTCTCGGTAAACTCCCAGCCCAGACAGAGAATAGCTCCCCTCCCTCCCAGCCTGCACCACAGCGCAAGTAAGAAACATCCTGTCGGAGAGAAGCACAAAGTTGTTAGATTTCAAGGATCTAATGGGTGTAGCCTGGTGCACTCAGAAGGTAGGACACACATAGGAAACACAAATTCCAACAGGAGGGGAGAAAAGTTTGCCATCCCATTGGGAGTCAGCGTGGTCATCTGTTCTCATGAGTCGCAAGGGAGATACTGTACTCTGGCTTTGAGATGACCTGTGCCGAAATTGTCCACCTGCCTTAGTTTGTCTTCAGCTGTTCCAAGAAACCGCACAACTGGACAAGAAACTGTTGCCTAAGCACAGGTTTCAGTGAGGAAGGGTATTTACAGACCGGAGTATATGTGTGGGTTTCTGGCCACCTTCATTCACACCTAATACAATCTGTGTGTACATGATCTGCGTTCCATAGATACCATGTATACACACAAGTGCATATACGCACAGACTTCTGTCATTCTGTCAAATCAGTTTTCACAGGAGGCAGGGATTCTCCTCCTTTATTTGTCTTCCCCTCGGAATGACACATTCATAAACGAGAAATATTAGCAACTCGCCTGAGATCTTGGCTCAAATATATTTGTAGGAGTTTAGGGAGGACCAAGACAGGTAAAAAGAGATGGTATTCCACCAGCGAGTCCATTTAATTGGAGCCGGCAGTCACCAGCTGTAAAAGCAGAAGGGGCTTCGCATGAACATGGGAAAAGGAAAGCTAATGGACGGGGGTAATGTCTCTCTCCAAACCAAGGCGATGGCCTGGCTTCAATGCGCACGGAAGAAGTTGGCTGTCAGGATAATGGTTGGAGCCACTGTCTGCCTTGGATGAGAGGAAGCGTCCCCAGGGCCCAGGGCTCAGTTTAGGGAGCGGGCTCACTGTGGACCAGCACTCAGGCAGAGAGGCTGGCACCCGGGGCAGCAGGGCCCGGGGCAGCGGTGCAGGCTGGCTCGGTGAGGGGGCTGGAGCTGCCTCCACGTCTGACCTCACGCTCAGCTTTGCTTTCTGGGCTGTGTAGGTGAAACGGTGACCCCAAATATTTGTGTCGGTAGTCCACTTCACGGACTTGCTGTCTGAATCAGCCAGGAGCCCTTATAGGACAGAAGCAAATTAAGACTATGGAAGAGGAGGTGAGCAGAGCTATCTGAGGTGGAGAGAAAGGAAGCAGAGAGTGGAATAGGAAGGGCAAAGAAGAGAGCCGAGACTAGAGCGAAACTGGCGAGAGTAAAGAGAGAGTGAAGAAAGTCAACGGGGAAAAGCAAATCAGAAACGAGAATGAAGAGGCGAAAGGAGCAGTCCGAGAAGATAGAATGCATATGGAAAGGAAATGTAGAACTGCAAGGGGTGAACCGAGGACAAGAATGAGAAAGAGAACAGGCGGGTAGAGGGCTTCTCACCGGCGCACAGCCCGAAGGGCTGGCAGTAGAATCACAGACAGCGCACAGAGGCACCTGCACGCGGCTTCACAAAGATGGGCCTACTAAGCCCTTCTGGCCAACCCTCCCCCTTGGGGCTGGAGGACAGGCCTGCAAAGCAGTGGCCAACCAATCCTGTAGGAGGAGAGCAGAAAACAAGTGTCTTGGCCGTGAGCTGACATAGGGGATTTCGAATTTGGTAAAGCTGAGACCCCCCGTGGTGCTACACATTGTACCAGAGCATGAAAAATAGCACCAGTGACACGATCTGGCACTTTTTCGAAAGGGCCCAGCTTGTGAAGGTGACATTGCGCCCCCAGCAAGCCTTCAGATTGGAGAGAGCTCCGGACAAAGTTTGCAGTGTTAGCACCAGTCTGGCCCCCGGGCCCCAAGTAAATGTGCACCAGATGTATTCTGGGTAACTTCCATGCCTTTTCTACACAAGTTGTCAGATTTATTGTGAAACACACCGAGTCATCCATTGGAGCCCCAGAGACCTCAACGCGGGGAAGCGCAGGACAACACGACAGATGGGGGTGTAAATGCTCGAGGCAAAAGACCCTCTCACCAAGGGGCCTGGTGAGTCTTCAAGCAAATATATATGTCTATTTATATATTTATATAAATCTACATAAAAAATCAGTGCAAATGCCAATTCTAGTCTGGAAGCATCTACACTAGGAAAATAAATAATTATATTACTACAAAACCAAGGGTTGGTGGTTCAACTTGATTGTACTCAGCCACAGCAATACTAGTATATGGAAAGCACGTCACACGACCGCGAAAACATCTACTCATTAATGACAGTCCTTTGAATAAATGGTTGCATGCTCAGTGGAGAAACCAAAGAAGTTATCATGGTGGCCAAAAAAATAGGAGCTGGAGTCCGGAATGGCATTCTGGTGGCATAAAACGCCCGGGAGTAATTTTGATGAAAGTAGGCCCTGACCTGAAATGGGCACATTGCAGACCAGGAAACACCCATTCCATTTTGTGCACTCCAAGGAAGTTTCTGGAAACTTCACTTTCATCCAAGGAAAAATACATTCGATAGCCCTTCCGTTGGCAAAGGCAACCTCAAAACTGTAGGTAGGTGTGTGATTATCCATTGTGGGGGTGGGGGTGAGGTGGGGTTTGTTTTGTCGACTGTAACCAGGCAGGCAATAATATTTTGTGTAAGATGACCAATCCTTGTTTTGGGAAGAGACCATCTATTGGAGTTCTGATGGTCCTACTGTGAAGAAGCCCCATCACTACTGACGGCTCTATCTTGCTCTCCCACCCCAGCCTACATGCTGGTTTGCTGCACAGTGTGGCAGAATCCCTGCCAGGTCTGGATATACCCCAGAAATAAGGCGATGGGGCTTAGTCTGGGCAGGCATCCAACCCAGAGTTGAGTGATTATTGAGATCACTGTAGTGTCTCTCCCTAAACACCTTGGGCAGAAGCAATGCTGATAGTGGCTTTAAAGTGTGGAACTAACTCTTCTGGTTCAGTTTGTAGGCTTTGGGAGGTTTTTTTTGAAATCATCATTATTGTACTTGTTTAAAAAATAAACTGGGTCCAGGCACAGCCCCACAAAAGGCTGTTCAATTGATTGAGCTCCAAGTTGTTTTTTGTTTTTTTTGGCGTTTCTCTTTGCCCCCGCACACAGAAACAAGTCTGCGCCCCTCACCCCTAAACAGGAAAGTCTCTTCTCTATCTTCCTCAACAACAAAAATAGTGTTACTTGGAACAGATTCCCACGCAGCTGTAGACTATTTCTGACTGCCCTAAAATCCTCAGTTATTCTGTGAGACCAACACATCATAATGCTCACTGCTCCAGGTTGGTCAAAATACTAAAAGATGTGTTAAGAAAGGTATGTCAATATACGTATCTGTTAAGAGTTATTCAACTATTTGCACAGCAGGCCCAGGTGGTTTAACCCGAGAAAAGCAAAAAACTTTCCTGAATATCCTTCGCTTGACTCTAGGTCTGAGAAGTCATCAACTTAAAAAAACAAAACAACCAAAACCCCTCATGAAGGTGTGTGCTCCGTGAGAGTGGATCCTTCGTGTGGAAGGGAGGTCACAGGAGGTTCGTGAGGGCGAAGTCTGTGTGGGACTCTGGGAGGAACTTGGGTGGGTGTTCTTACCAAGCATTGGCCACAAGGGACAGTGCAACTTTCAGGGGTGGAACTTGATCATCTGCTGAGACTGCATTCATTTAATCTTCCAGTTAATTAGTCTTTACAAAATATTTCACAAAACTTTTTTGACCTATAGAATTCATTTCTATACATTTAATATATTTTTATTGTATAAATTATTCTCATCTTTAGTGCCTTCTTTCAGTTTATAAATGGCAAAATAGACCATCGATCGTCATACAGCTAATCCCAGGTAGATTCCCCTCCTCTTAGTGCGGTCAGTCCTCCGTACTCTTGTGAATCTTATGGCAAGCTTGTCTTTGCAGATGGTGGTCAAAGCAACTACGCACTTATCTTTCCCTGATACCATGTCATCTCGAAAGGTACATTTTTCTTGTTAAGAAATCAAAGGATATGCATAGTTATAAAATTCGAGTGTACCAATTTACAGATGTGGTGAATGGGAAGGTTGGTGAGGTTCGAGTGCTGGCAACTGTTGTTTAAAGCAAAAAAAAAACAAAACAGAGAGCTCAGCAGCTAAATCAGCGCTGGTCATCTGGGGTGAGGAGGCTGTCCGTCTCTTGGGCAGAAAGCCTGACAGAGGTTCATCCCTACACCTGGCACTTTGAGCAAACCAAAGCCTTCCTGCATCCTGCAATGTCTTTTCTGTCCCACTCTTTGGCCCCTCCGTTTCCTTCATGGCTTCACACAGTTTGTGTTGTACATTCATAAGAATTCACATTGACTGCAAAAGAAACAAACAAACAAAAAACCAACATAAAATGCAACAAAAACATAAAAGCCTCCAAGTAGTATATTATATATATTTTGTTCTTCTAAATGCTCTTCTGTGGTTGTCAGAGGCGCAGTAGCTAACTTATAACTTTTCCTTTGAGGGAATCCAGATGAAAGGCCCAGACTGCTCTTCAATAACAAGCTTGCATTGATTATATATGTCTTCTAAGGTGTCTCCTTGGACTATAGCTGTTAAAAACAAAACAACAACAAAACACACACATGTAGGAGTTAGGAATCGTTTCCTGCGTGGTAAAGAACAATCAGTGTACACACAGCAGATGAACAACTCATCAAGACATGTAATATTCCCGACTGTTTCTAAGAAAGAGTAGAGCCATCACGTAAGCAAGGACACAGTAATAATTTTAAAAAATGTGAATTAGGTGGGCTTCATTTTTGATCATCAACTTTCCTGATATTCTTTGTTTTCTTTGTTACTCAAGTATGTTTAATGGTGTTGTATCATGTTTTAAAAAATCATTAAATTACCTGAACTTCTACAGAAACAATTCTTCTCCCTCATGTTCTTATTTATTTTCAGTTTGGTTGTGAGCCTTGTGATTTTCCCTAACACCCATCCCACATATACTTTGGAAAACACGAATTCCATTAGGCAATTCTTAGCCCTTCCTTACTTCACTGCCCTGCAATGGTCAGGCCACATTAAAGTTCCCATCATTCAGTGACCTCCAAGCATTCCAAACATTAACACTGAGGAATTCCTGTGAGGGCAGGCCCAGAGTGAACTCTGAAGGCTTACTCTCTGCTCTCGTCCTTCCTCTGTGAGAGCTCTGGTTTCGGTGTTAGTTCCCGAGAGAACTTTCAGATCGTAAAAGATGGTCAGCACCATTTTTCAGTCTTTGCTCACTGCCTGCCCCGATGCTCTGTGAAAGTTCTGATTTGGGTCAGACCAAGGACCTAATCTATCAGGCTGGTCAGAACATACACCCTCAACAGTCTGCTTGCAAGATCCGGCCTACTTAGTTCTGGACCAGACTTCTGGGCCCTTCAAGGGGACACAGGTGAGTCAGGATTTGGCTTTGGCCATAACTGCAGCTCAGGGACACCTCTCTGGTGCAGTAGAAGTGATCTTTCTGTTGTTTGAAATTCATCCTTCTAGGTTGTGGTTCCTTGTTTTCATCCCCACCTCCCCTGTGCCCCGGTCTTTCAGAGTTTTTATAGGGTTGAATATAGATATTTCTTTTCTGATGCTCATCTGGGAATATCAGAAATCTAGACCTGCTCATGCTGCCATTGTATCAGAATTCAAAAGAAACTTGAATAAGAAGCCTTTCTTAGTAAACCTCGCTTATTCTTCAGGAAATCTGGCAAATCGAGATCTGTCACATAGGTCTATGCATGTTGAGAAATATGGTCAGTCCTTCTAAGAAACAGTAAGTGGGAGTAAGCAAACTGATCCATTTATAATCGCCTGAAATAGTAAGCCCCCCCCCCCAAGGGCTTACATATGAGTAGTTACTGAAAACTGAGTTAGAAATTCAAACCTAATCTTTAGAATACAATGATTATTGTATTTTTTTCCTGACTAGGAACCACTGGTCAAAACGTACATTGCTTTCATTTAATTACCCTATGTAGATACAAGAGGGCTTGAAAAAGCTTTTGGAAAGATGGAAGTACAAGGTAGTTGAAGTTTTTCACAGACTTCTTGCTGTCTCCCTACCCTAGGAAGGTGAATGTAACTCACATCTGTGTTACCCATTAGATAGTTACTTACCTTGCCGACTTCAACATGTTTACAAAGTACTAAGTCATCGGTTCCTTTTCTATTCTGAATAAGAAGTTAAAAATACAATTGCACCTCATGGTAATTCAAGATGGAAGTGCTTGTTTTCAATAATGGATATTCAGTCGTAAGGCAAGCTCTGTAAAGTTTTATTACTCTTTGAATTTGATCAATGTCCAATTATAGTCTATAAGAGCAGAGAACTCAGGAAAGCCATTAGAAGAAAACCTTCTATTCCTCAAACTTATTTTCAAGGAAGTGTTTCTGAAAAGGGAAAATGTTTTGCGTGGAGACGGGGCATGGGGTTTCGAGCACAGTGTTCCTGTCCTACTGGTGTGGGGCAGACCTGTGCTGCTGCAGAGCCACGGCAAGCGGTGAGTGGGGGCCTGGCTGGCTGCTCCAGACGAGCTGTGCCCACTTTCAGCCTGGGGCTCCTTCTCAGTGCTCTGATGGTGTCCTGGAGAGAGTTTGTTTAGGTATGAATGCCTAAACCACTCCTTAATAGTAGGAGATAGATGGGTTTGAGCCTGCTGCTCAGTTTTTCTTTTTCATCATTTTTCAAAGATTTTGCTTTGTTGAGAATATACACAGCAAAACGTAGCTCAGTGCAAGTGTCACCATGTATACCGTTCGGTGACGTTGACTGCCTCCTGCTAAGTGCGCAGCTACGCTTACTCTACTTCTCCTGCTCCATGAACATAAACCCATTGCTATCCCCCAAGCTTCCGAGCTAGTCTTTCGAATTGCTGTTGCCACTTTGCTCCCAGATAGATAGTTCTTTAAAAGTGTAATTCTCAGGGCAGAGATTTTGACTAGTTAATCCATTCATTTTTAAAAATCATTTTATTAGGGGCTCATACAACTACCATTGTTTAATTTTTAAAGATTATCTCAGGGCACTAGAGGTTCATCCAGCTGCCCTAGCTCTAGAAAGTCTGGATTCCATGATTTCTGAAATTGTACTCTCCATTTCCCCCCTTTTGATCAGGATTATGCTACAGAATCTTTGATCAAAATGTTCGGTATTGGTAGCAGGGGCCATCCAGTTCTTTTGGTCTTATGGTAAAGGAAGTCGCTGGCCACAACCAGTGGGAAACCTGATAAGGGGCTGCAGCAGAAGGAGACTCCCTGCTATTAAATATGTATTGGGGATTCCCAACAGAGAGGTTTTAGGTCTCAGGTCAACGAGGCCCAGTGTTATCTCCTTGCTAAATGTGAGACATCTCATTTCCCTTTTAACTATATTAAGGTTAAATGAACTTACCTGTAAAATATTCACCAAATTCTTGTTCTAACTTAATTGCTCGATCATAAGTTTTCTTGGCTTGTTCTTCTGTTAGACGTTTATTCATCTCCCTGGGGAAATGAAGGTGTGTTATTAGTTAGAACAAAAAGGGAATGTACCAAATCTTGGGGGGGAAAAAAAAGTTGAAATTCATAGTAGCAAAAACAATTCCCACATTAAGCACAGGGCGATCTTAGCAGCAGGTTCCTAATCCTCATTGAGACCAGGCTGGGGCACTTCCAGCAGTAAGAACCCCGTGCCGGGGAGCTCACTTTCCGATGGCCCTCTATTGGTTCCAGGTGGGACTGAAGAATACTCCATCCATCTATGGTTTCCAGTCTCCTGTCCCTGTTCTATCCCGATGTCATAGGGAATGGGAATAAACTTCTTTTGTCAATGACTGAAGCAAAAACTCATTGCCACTAAATTTATTCCCACTCGTAGCAAGTCTATAGTACAAGGTAGAACTGCCCCCTGTGGGTTTCCAAGACTGTAAATCTTTATCGGGATAGAAAGCCTCAGCTTATCTTGAGGTTAATGGTCCAAGGTATAACCCACTACGCCTTGTGTCCCTTAAGTCATCAGAATAAACGGTCTGATTCCCTTGATCTGCTCCTTCATTGAAAACAATTTTTCAAACCTTATCATTCTTCCATGGACTTTGTTGTGTCTATCTCAACCTCGTTGAATCATGGGACGCTCAAGTGAATGGAATCTTCGAGAGGAGATGAGAGGGAGAAGATAAGGAAGAGGCAGATCCCAGCTTACTAGGCCTCCTCATAGTTAGAGAACTGGAGTGGACTGTGCTTAGCCTGGTAAAACACTTTGCTTTTCAACACTCTCATCCTTCTGAAGGACTTGCTGGTCACCTCCAGGGTGTGGCAGAAAACATGGGGACTTTAAGTCACGGAGGAAGTGCCTCTAAAGAATTGCTGACAGGACAGGCTCCTTAGGCATGCATATCTCTTAGGCAAATAAGGGTTTCTGCCATCCCCCCCCCCTCGATTTATGCAAACAGCATGCCGATGCACAAGAGCCCTGAAGTTCCTTTCTTTTGATAATCAAATGATTACCTGCTGAAGATAATCTGAAGATCTGAAGGAGGTTTGACTTAAAATGGGCACAGAGAGAATGTGCCGACCAGCAACATTAGAATCGGACTATTTTCCAATCGAATATAAGCCAATAATGTAGTCAAATCATGGCCAGGATAGAGGAACTTCTTGAGAAAGCATCTCTGGGGCTTTACTTTGTGTCTGAGAGGAGAAGCAGCTGTACAGGAATTGTGTCCAGGACCCTGCCCCTTCCTGTGAGGCTGTCAGTCATTATGGATGACTGACTGAATACATGTCACTTATCAAATGAAAGGAATTCAACACAAATAATCCTGAAAACTTACCCTGAGGCAGGTAATGGGTAGTGACATACTGTGAATACCTGAACTCAGTTCCACCTCCCACAGCTTTGTTACAAAACAGGTGGCATCTTCTCTAGCTGAAGCTCAGGTGGGTTAATACACTTGCTGTCATGGTCCAGGGGAGTACTTGGGCCATCTACTTCCAACTGCACATGATTTCATATGTGTTACTGCTAAGTGTGTTTGGGAAGAACTCAAACTGCTAAAAGTTACCCATGTGCCTGTCATATAAATCACTGTAAGATTATTTAAGCATAACTTAGCTTAAGGCATGTAATGGATTAAATTGTATTCCCCAAATGGTATGCTGAAATCCTAACCCCTGCCTGTCTGTGAATGTGATCTTGTTTGGGGGAAATAGGAGTTTCCTTTGAAGACACTGTCAGTTACTCACATGTAGGATGGAACATAGCCCGAACCTCTGAGTAGTCACTTATAAAAAGATAAAAGAAAGGCACTTGCACACGATAAGAAGGCATGTGTTGAGGCTCCCTCGACAGCAAAGAGATGCCACATATGCCAGTCGCAGCCAAAAGGTAGCACAGAGACACGGAACAATGCCTTTCTCAGAGCCCTCAAAGGAGTCACTGTCACTGATACCCTAGATTTGGACCTCAGCCACTTGAACTGTGAGCAATAAAGCGGGGTTCCTTAAAAAATGGCAACAAGGGCAAAGCAAATGTGAGTGAAGTTCAAAGAAACCAAGTCAGCTGATTCTTAACTGTAAATGATTTATGTCCCTGTGTCCTCCATGGGTTAGAATTTTTGTCTGCCATTATTTTCTAATCAAAGACATTTTATGAAGCAAAGACTGACAATCAGAGCCTCTCATTATCATGGGAAAACCAGTGTGACTGCACTGCGCTGATAAAAGTTCAGCCAAAAGCAAAGACATTTGGGTGGTTTTCTGGGGAAGCGCATCACAGGCACATAAAGAATTTTCTAGAATGTCTGAAGGCATTTCTGCCTTCGCATGCTGTGCAGAAAGCCGAGGATGGCAGTCTGAACCCCGTCCTGGGCCAGTTGTTTTAGTTAAGCAAGTGACTGAGGGTCTTGCCTCAGACTGCATATTTCATAAATAAGGGGTTATAACCAAAGACCTCTCCCCCGCCCCTCAAGACAGACTTCCCATTATATCAAAAGATACTCTTGTTAGGAGAAAATAAAGCAAGTCAGCCATTAACATAGCTCTGGGCATGATGCTTAAATCTGCAATGGAAAGGACGATATCTTCACAAGGGGGGGAGTGTGTGGGGGGAGAGGAAGGGAAAAAAGAGCTGATACCAAGGGCTCAAACAGAAAATAAATATTTAGAAAATGATGATGGCAACATATGTACAAATATGCTTGATACAGTTGAAGTATGGAATGGTCTAAGAGCTGTAAGAGTCTCCAGTAAAATGATTATAAATAAATCAATAAATAAAGGAGGATTTCTTGAGTTCTTTGGACTGAAACATAGCATTATACCCTTAGAGACAGTGTCTTTTCTCCCCGCACTCCCACCCCATTGCAAACAGCCCTGGGGCCAGCCCAGCTATGACGAGGAGTCACTTGTGGGTGCAGAAGACGTTGAGGAAACCAAAGGAACTTCTACTGAGAAATCTGTTTTGCTCCAGATCTCTGACTTGTAGCTCATGCTGGCCTTTCTCGCACTTGAATTCCATTCGCACTTACTGTGATCATGGCTTAGTTTAGGGCCCTCCTTCACTCCCAGTGTATGTTTACTTGGTTTCTTTACCTACATTTGACACCTTGAGAGCAGAGACCTTGGCTTATTCCTTAGCAGGTGGCCCGAGCCGAACTCCGCATCTATTTGTAGGTAAAGGAATGAGGAGCTAGACAAATCAACCTAATTACAATGTAACCGAAGATGAGTCACACAGCAGGGAAGCCGAAGGACAGATACAGCTTGGGTGGCCCAGCACGGAAGCTCCTCATTGTCATGGGGAGTCCAAAGTCACGCGGTGGCAGAGCTGGAAAGGCTCCTCTCTGCCACACTCTGGATTTGATGCTTCTCTGAAGAACCAGATGTGTGTACGCCAATGAGCTCTGGGTTTGAAGTGAAGGTTGCCCTCGAAAAGTCACGTGTGTGTGATGCTATATCAGTGCCCAAATGGGACAGCTGCCATGCTTTTGTTCTGGCTGACCTAACATTCACTTGGAGGAATGAGAAATGCACGCCAGCCTGGCTTCTGAAGCAAACACTCTTAGAGAAGGGTGAAGTGGGGAGGAAACATCCAGAACTTTGCAACAAAATCACATGTCACCATCCCTGCCCTGCAGACCCATGCATAGGGCTGTAGTGGATTATGTCAGATCCATCAGGAGGCAGCCTCCTCCTTGTGGAGTCTAGCCTTCAGGATGTGTAGTTTTCCTCAGTCATAAGTGTTTGGGACTGTGCCCCAAAGCAAAACTAAATAAGCCATGCCATAGGTGTAGAGGAAGTAAACCTACTGAAGGCCAGATGGGAATATCTCCCAATGTTGCCCCGGAAACAAAGTGTCACTGCTGTTCTTCAGACCTCACTCACTTCCTTGGGAAGGTGTTTATTGCAACGAAGGTTTCAGATAGGAAATCGCTGAGGAACATGGGAGTAGCCATACCATGAGGGTAGGGGGAAGATGGGGGGAGAACCGGGGAACTGATTGCAATGATCGACATATAACCCCCACCTCCCAGTGACAAACAATAGCAACATGGGTGAAGGGAGACAGCGGATGGCATAAGATATGAAAATAATTTATAATGTATCAAGGGTTCATAAGTGTGTGTGTGTGGGGGGGGAGGAGGATAAAAATGAGGACCTAATACTAAGAGCTCAAGTAGAAGGAAAATGTTTGAAAATGATGATGGCAACATATGTACAAATGTGCATGACACAATGGATGGATGAATTGTTTTTTCTTTTTGTTTTTTATCATTTTATTAGGGGCTCATACAACTCTTATCACAATCCACACATACATCAATTGTGTAAAACGCATTTGTACATTCATTGCCCTCATCATTCT